GAGCGTCAGCTTGAATTTTTGAGCATGTTACTGTGCTGTTAGTACAAGTTGGATTAGAATTCTTTGCTGTAGTGCCCAGAGATTTTGTTTCCTGGGAGGGAGTTGTTTCATGAGTTTCTTTGGGCTTTTTGGTTTTGGGGCTTTTTTTCCCCACTGTGGTCGAAGCCAGTTAATGAACAGCCAGATAACAACGGAGCAAGGCAGGTGTTGAGGCGGGGGCTGAAAGCCCATGGATGCTTCTGTGGAGAGCTCCTCGTATTGGGTACTTTTCAGGGAAAGATGCTGAAAATCTCTTTTGTTGTGCAGACCGTTGGCCTGTGAGCCATTTGCTCTCTGTAGATGTGTCAGAGCGCAGGGCACACTTGCTACCGTGGTGGTTCTTTATGGCCACAATTGGTCTTGTGGGTGCAAAGACTAAGGTGATGTCGCCCATGAAGAGGAGCTACTTACGCAGAGCTGAATCATCCTGCCGTCATGTCTAGCAGCTGGTTCACGGGGAACGGCAGCTTAGCTTTCATGCAGTTACCAGTGTAGAAAGTTTTTTTTAAAAAGAAGTCTGGGCTGTGGTGCTGGCAGCTTATGATTCAAAAGCAGCTGCTAATGCAACAGAGGGTTGCTCCACTTTGCTTACCGTTTCCCCTTTCTGTCTTTGAAGCAGAAGCACGTGCTTCCCATGCCGCTTATCGCAATACCTGGTCCCCCCGTGCCTCCCACCAGCTGCCAACATCTCCCTTGCCGTGTCTTTACAGCTTCTACCCGTCGTTAACGCGCAGATCCGCTAGCTGCAGCTGCTGCGGGCGGGGGGCGCGGGCGCGCCCCCCGGCCCCCAGCTGGCGGCCTGCCGCTGGTCCCGAGCATCTCGGCTCCCTGCCTCTCCGGGAGGGCAGGTCCAGGGAAAGTAAACACGGGGCAGACTTTGAGGGTTGGGTGGAGCATTGACTCGCCCTCCCCTTATTGCTGATCAGCTTCTCTGTATGGATGGATGATTTCTTTGAAGAAGCCAGGGGATTGCCAAGCACTGTCTCCCGCTCGGCTTGAATCTTAAGGGAATAGCTGACATTTGAAGGAAGACTGTTGAAGGAGACACATCTGTTGCCAGGCAGAGCTGACATAATCCCTTTCAGCGGTTTGACAGTAATCCCTTGAAAACGAATAGATGGTCAGTTCCAGCTTGATTATTCTGAGGTTGGCTGTCTTTAAGATGTTTGCGTGATTGGCCTTAGGTTTCGCCATGCTCTATGCAGTGGAAGGAGCTGGGGGTGGGAGCGATTCCTCTGGTTTCACACTCTCCCTGGGGCCTTTGCGATTTCCCCCTCCCTCCACGTTAGGCCCTGCAACGGGGGATCAGACAGGGTGACCAATGCACGTAGCGCTGGAGTAGAGTTATATTGCTAATTCAGTGAAAAGGCTGCTCTGCTGACCTTATTCAATACTGCGTGCAGCAGAGCTCTTACCTACAGTAGGTCCGTTTCATTAACAGATTAAATCCTTGGATAGCATTTAATAATATGTTGAGCTTCAGGTAGTGATTTCCATCACGGGTTCATATTTTAAATGGTCAAAAATCTGATGGCAGATCATTGTGAATCAGTTGCCATCTATAATAAGACTCCAGGCGCTGACTCGTGTTGTGTGCTGGTAGCTGACTAGTGCCGCCGTCCTCCTGAGATGGCTCCAGGCAAGCCGTGATGGGGAGCCCTAATATATTCACAGCTGGCTAAATTGCTTATGTTTGTGACTGCTTGGTGCTTGAAAAACTTCACTCTCACGGCAAATAGGAAGCATCTTCAGGGAATGCCGTGATTTAAAACTGAGTCTTGCTTCATCCATTAGAAAAGTTAATTTTTTAGCCGTTACTGCAGGATGAAGCACATCAGGCGGTTCTGTTCCTGACGTGGCTGCGTTCGTGACTCCACAGACAGTTTTAGAGCCTTTGTGGCTCGCTGGTGGGAAAAGAGAAAAGGCTGTAATCCGGTCAGTTCAAACAATAATTCAACTCTCAGTTGCGTTCAGGTGCAACTTTGGAAAGGTTTTAACAGCAGCAGAGAGTTGCTGCAGCAAGGAGGGGCTGCATGCTGCCTTATTGAAGCAGTTGGGAGGTTAGGAGATCTGAAAATACTAGGAACGTCACAGTAGACAGAGAATGAATTCCACTTCACTTTTCAGCTGCCGGAGAGGCTGGGAGGATTTCATCTGGGAAACCTGCTGTTTGGAGGCTAATACGGAAGGTGGAAATGTAGCGCCCAGTGCAGCTGGGAGGAGAAGGATATTGTCTTAATTTCAGTCTGTCTGCTTCTTAGTCTAAAAGTTCCATTTCCTGGCACTGAAGTAAATTAAAATTTGCAAGTCTTGTGTTTGCGTACTTGAAAAAGGGGCTAAGTTGAAACATGTCGCTCCTGAATGGAGGAGGGCAGGGAAGTGGTGAGATGTATGCCAAGATGTAGGTAAAGGTGTGAAGGGTAAGGGAGTAAAAAAAGCAAACAGAAGACTGTGCTGTGCAATTACGAGCTCTTTTAAGGAATTGAAATGAAAAGCGTCAGCAGAACCAGAAGGGATAACAAGGCTACCAAAGCTGTAGAGACATAGTAAGACTTGCATCAGCAGTGTATATCTTATTTAGCAGTAGCAACTTGTATGGTTGTGTTTGACTACCTCATTGCACTTAGCAAACCTCATAATGAATGAAGACTGGGGAAATTTAGCAGGTACTTAAAACTGAGTATTTTTTTGCTTCTGTTTTGACACTGGAACTTCTTGTCTTTATTAAACAAAGCCCCTTGCCTGCATGTTCCACTGTGAAGCACCACAGTTATGAACTGTGATTTTTTTAATCCAGGAAGAGGAAATCCTAATTTAAGTAATTGATTTTATTTATTGATAAAATATAAAAAATAAAAATTAAGTAATTGATAGGCTGTAATTAAACCTGGAATGGATTTTGTTCACTCAAAGGTGTGCTCTGTTTTTTCCATATACTTGTCACACTCCTTATCTAAAAATGATAAATTGTATATTTCTTTCTGAACCATGTATTTCTTTCTGAATATGTATTCATCAGGGTTTTTTGACTTGCATTCCGTACATCTTGATACAAATAAAAAGTCCATTGCATCAGTATTTTTAGAGTGTCATTAGTTATTTAGAACTAACTTTAAGATGGCACATTCATGTTCTAAACTATTCAGTTAGTTTCAAAGAGTGTAGCTAGAGACTGTAATGAATTGCTCATCAGAGATTTAGGCGTAGTAGAGCTGATCCTTCCACTTCTACTGCTTAGTCACAGCTTGGAAGAGAAATGCAATTTTTCTGTCTTCTTACACTTGTAGTCAGCTTCTCTGTTTTGAATTAATTGACTATTGAACTGAATTAGTGGATCTCTCTATTTTACAGGTGCAGAAGGATTACTGTACAGAAGGATTGCTGTTAAAAAAATTGGCTAAGTGCATCAGCTGTAGCTGATTTGTAGCCAAAGACTTCCGTAGATCAATGGCTTTCTTTTTCTTGTAAAACCTGAAGAGCAATCCACATGATTAAAAAATTTATTTAAATTTTGTTCTTTTAATGGCTGACTTGAAATCTTGGCATGGCTTGTCATAATTTCAGATGTTATTTTAAAAAGAAAAATATTTTATTAAATATCCTGGGAGTTGGTTTTCAGATGGTCATGTGCACACACCCTCTCCAAATACAGTGCGTGATAGGGGTGTGCAGCTTTTTATTCCCCGTGGAGGCTGGTAGTTATTTGTTTCATTAGTCAGCGTCAGCCCAAAAGCATGTTTGCTGCTGCTGAGTGGAAGGCCTTGAGTGGTCTCAGCTCCAGAGGTGTCCGGGTCAGATTGCAGAGGTTTGGGTGGCTGATCCAGTTATTGGCTTGTTTGGGGTGCCTAAACTGGGGCGTGGGTTCTCTGTTCCAAGGTCAGCACAAACAGCCCAGAACCCTGGGCTATTTGCTGGGGTGACTGAGCAACAGGGCATGATTTCACACGGGGGCCGACGGGCCCTAGTGACTTGCTGAAAGGGGCAGGCGTACTCCCAGCCTGGTGCTGTCCTCTGTTTTCTGGTGTCTGCTCTGGAGCTTGTCTGAGACCCCCTCGGAGATTAGGTCCAGGTCATTAAGCCAGCAGAAAACAAACCAGAAGACAAAGTGAAAAAGTCTTCCAACCTTTCAGCAAGCTGAACCAGCTAACAGGGCTGGATGAAGGGAAGAAGTGGAGCCTCGCTGTTTGGGGGCAGCACACCATAGCATGAAACCCCCCCTCCGTCAGCTCAATGAGAATTGCAGCTATATTGCGTTTCAGAGGATTGCAAGAATAAATGTATTAAGGATGATGATGTAGGGTAGAGGCTTTAAAAGAGAAGAAACAAAGCAGTGTGAGCTGCAAGATGCAGTCAGCCGTGTACTGGCTAGAGCCTGGTACTGCCCTCTGAGCACCCATAACCACTGTCAGACACGCGTGATGATGCCACGGCTTTCTAGTGAGGCTCCTCCGACAGCAGTGGCACGTGTATTTTTCGCCATGTAAAGCCAGCATGGGGGCTGGATTCATCCCTTGTGCAAAAGGAGGAATGAATGTCTCTGTGCCTAGCAGCGCACTCGGTGGCTCTTTTTGGGAGGTGCTGTTTCGTAGGGGCGCCGAGTGCTGCGGTGAGGTCCGAGGCCGCTCCGTCAGGACGACGCGGGTTCCTCCTGCTGCTCTTTCTCACGGTCAGGAAGGCATTGCTTACATCTCGCCACGGTGACTCAGGGGGTGTTTGAGAGCCAGCAGGTGGAAGATCTTTGTAAACTGTAATGCCAGTGGTACAGTATGGCGGGGAGCTCCGACCTTGACAGAAAGAAGCCTATGGTATGGATGTAGTGTGTGGTAATTCATTCTCCCTTCAGGTATGCTTAGTGGAGTTGGCCTGTTGTAAGCGGAGACTGAAACTTTTTTTGAATTGATCAGAATAATGCTGCACAGCAAAGGAGGGTGCAGAGGTCTGAGGCAGAGGAAAACGTCCAATGGAACAGTATAGGAAAATGTTGCCTGCAGTTCTTTGAAAACGCTGCTGTACTGAGCTACCCAGCACTAGTGGGAATCAGGGTCCTGTCTCGTGGCCGACTATGAAGACTGTTCTAACTTGGACTAGAAAGCTGTTTTTACTTCATCTGCCAGGGTTTTTGTTTGTTTGCTCTGAGGTGCAGGGGTTCTGGTAGAGGAGACGGCATCGCTGCAAACCTTTTCGTTAGGTTTGGCTACAGGCAGGAGAGGAGGAGCACTGCCAGGGTTTACATACTGTCATGGTGCGGTGCGTCAATCAAGCAAACTTGATGCAGTTGCTGCAAAGAATGTCCAAGACAGCGTGCCTTGCGAACTTCATAGTTGGTTTCTGCTGAACAACATGTTTCCCAGACATCTGGCTAGCAAATGCTGTATTTCTCAGGATACAGCCCTAGTGCTAATCTTTAGATTACTTTAAAATGAGTTCTAGCAATCGTGTCCAAAATTAGGGTTGTGTTCCACCTGAGCCGAAGTGTTACAAGGCAGTTCTCTTTCAACTGAGCTGTTCTGTTCAAGTCCAGTTCAAGACCTAATGTGAAAATCAGCTGCCCATTTCTCTCTTGCTTTGTTACTTTTCATCCACCACAATATCGTAATGCTGGCTTAGTGTCCCTTCTGAAATAACTCTTGCAGACGGAACTCTCCTAATTATATTTTTTCTTTTTATTTGAGAAAGTAAATGCTACAATCAATCAAATCATTTAGTTCTTTTAAGCTGTTGTATAATATGTTGAGGCTGCAGATTTAATATATTTAAATAAAAAGCTAGCCAACGTGGAAGGTTTTGTACTGGCACAAACCAGGAATTATTCTTCCTCCAAGAGCGATTATAAGTGGCCCCAACCCTTACTTTTTCCTTTGCAAGGGGAAGTCCAAATAGGATGCGATGTAAAAAAAAAAAAAAAAAAAAAAAAAAAAAAAAAAAAAAAAAAAAAAAAAAAAAAAAAAAAAAGTTTGTAATCTCTGGTGACTAAACTTGCCCAGGCTTCTTTTCCACGCCTCTTCCACTCACTTGACGTCATACTATTTTTGTCCCTTTCTAGCTCATTGACACAATTGCCTCAGAAATCGGAGAACTGAAACAGGAGATGGTACAGACAGATCTCACAGTGGAAGATGAATCTGCTGATTTGCGAAGGTGATTAAAATGTTTATTTTCATAGTTCCTGGAGGTGTACCGTAACAGCAATGTTTTCATTGTGCTTTCTTCTTGGGTGGCTTATGTCCTAGCGCTTTTCATCCTAGCAACATAGGGGGTGTCGGTAATCTTGCTCTTGATGCAAGGAATTTGCCTTTGCGCAGGAGGAGCGCCCAGAGATTCAGTTGTTCTGTGTATTTGCCTTAATACTTCTAAAAGTAACTGAACTTCACTTCTACTTCCTTGTTACAAACCTCGGATACTGATGAATGTCTAAAGCAGGAAACTACTGCTATTATTCCCATTGTCTATGGCAATGAGCTTTGCTTTCACGCTGTAAAGACTAAAAATGTCCACTGCTTCAAGTGGCTCTGTGAAGATTCAATATACAATAACATGATTTATTTATGTTCTTAGGAAGTAAAGTATTGACTGTTACGACCTGACACTTTTGTGGGTTATGTGTTTAAGTTCATTTATATATATCTTGCACGTTAAAAAAAAAAAAAAAAGTTAAGTAGATGGGGGAATTTCCTTAACCTTAAAATGATTTGAGATGCATATTACAGTGCAGATAAAAATTCTGGCTTTTTAAAATAGATCATGCCATGTACATGTGGACTGTGGAAATTTGTAATGTTAAACTTGTACCTTTAAGTGGGCATAGTGGGACCCCAGCATTTTGGCTTTGCTATGGCTGTTGTGCTTGGTTGGTAATGTCTGTTAAATTGACATCTGGAGGATGTTCAACATTTTAAGCACTGTGTTAACAAAAGAACACATTTTTGTACTTAGTGTTGAAATATTTGTTGCAAGAGGAAAGCAAAAAATGCAGGCGTTCTGTTTTATCTGACTGCACAGTCTGGGCCAGCTCCGGGGCTGGTGGGCTTTGTTCTTCAAGGCGGTGAGTTAACGAAGTGGTAATAGGTTGGTTTTTACAATTACATCCATGGTTTTTAGCTTTTTTTTTTTTTCTTTCTATAAATACTTTTGAAATGTGCTAAAACTTACTTCAGTATCTATTTAAATTATTTAAATAAAACTTTGAGCAGCATCTTTGTTGCCCAAGTGGTAAAGAACATAAGACAGCTGAACTAATTAAAGTCCTCAGCTATGTCCCTGGTTGCACATTATTCAAGTTTTAAAGCTTTTGAAAGCACAGTTCTTTTACAGGGGCAGAAAGGATACTTTCTCCATTTCGGTGGACTCGGCTAATTAATTTCAATGATCATTAGCTAGTTTTCAGTTAAGAAAAGGCTTCTTGTATCTTTGAATACACTGTATGCATGAAAGACTAAGATCTACTAGTTCTAAAATCTTGGTGGATACACTTAGCTGGAAACAGTCAATTAAACCTCCCCGTTTTACAGATCCAGAAGATTTTTTTTTACTGATTTTTTTTTTTTTGTGGATTTTTTCAAACTGAATTTGTTAATTTTGAGAGCAAAATATATTTTAAAAATATGGAAGTAAAGCTAACATAAAAAGTCAGTAATGCCATTTCCATGACTACTTAACTGAATTCAATTTCATATTGAAATAATAGCCATCCAATAAAAAAAGGAATTTGTTCTTTTCTGTCACTTTTAAGGTGATAAATGTAAAATATGAAATCTGAATAAATGAATTAAGGTCAATTTTTGTATGACTACATCATTCTGAACTGCGTGCTTCTATGTAAGGAAGAAGTTGTATCAAAGTTGGTATAAATTATATAATTAGTTGTGCACTGATACCTTTTGTTTATATAGAACTACAGAGCAAGATTACAGTAATTTCAACTAAGGGTTTCCGGAGTTCTTATTTAAACTAGACTCCCCACAAAGATGTGCTTACTATCATAACTTTATTTCTTTGTAGTTAATTTAAAACTTTGTAATTCATGTCCGTTGCTTTTATTATTGTGTGTTCTGCTGTTCAGAAGTTGGTATCTTGGTGTGGCATTTGGATTAGCATCTAGAGAAATTTGAGCTAAAAGGAACGTCTATTTTCCATGCTCGTTTTTCACCTTAATTTATATCCGCACGCACCCAGAACAGTTTTAGAAAGGCAGCGGTTGCAAGACCTCTCAACTGTACGGAGAAAAATAAGTACCTGAAATCGTGTGTCTGCAACTTTGTGGTGTGTGGGTTTTGTTTGGTTGGTTTTGTTGTTGTGTTTGGGGTTCTTTTTGTGGTTATGTGGTGACTTTCAGAATTACACTCCTCTCCCCAGTTATATTTTGGACTTGTCTCCCCTTTTTACATCTGTGGCCCAAGTAATATTGAGAACGATTCAAGTAACTGGGCCTACAGCTTTGGCTTGTAAGCATGTAACAGCCAAACAAAAAAGAGGCTTGTAAAAAATGTTGTTTTAAGTGGGACGCTCACGTTGTGTGTTTCAGCGTTCCACGGTGTTTGACGCCTGGACTTTTTCCCAGCACAGACACATATCTCAGTAATCCAAATGAGCGGAGTTGTCAGAAAGGGGCATAAATGGGATAAATTTCTGACCTGCGCTGTACTGGTGACCTTTGAAAGGGTAACTGGAGAGCTTCTGCGTGCGATGGCAGCCCAGGTCCACGTAGGGTGGGGGAGCACACCCGACGTGGCTGGTGGCATCCAGGTGGTCTCTTAGGAGGCGCTCAGTCTCCCTCGAGGGCCCTAGGACCCCTGCATGTCTGTTGTCTTTGTGAATGACAGTGAGGGGAAAAGCTTGCTGCTGTCCCTCTGCGGGGAAGGCTGTAAAGCCCCAGCCTTCCTGGAGCCTTCGGTGCCGCTGAAATGATTCAGGGATGCTTTGCTGGTGGTGGCAGCTGCTGCAGCTCATTCCCTTCCTGCTCTGTTACCATGACAGAAAGAAGGGCAGAACGTTGCTCTTTCCCCCTCATGTTTTGCACTGGACAGCCCTCGTGCCTGTGCCTTCTACATTTTTCCACAGCAGTTATTAACTGAAGTGGAGCTGTCTTCTGTGCCTCGCATGGTGAATTGCTTCTGTTACTGTTGACAGGTAGGCAAGTATCCAGCAACCTTTTCCCCAGCAGCTTTGTCCTGTCCCTTCAGCTGTAATGGGGTGGAGAAGAAAGTGACAGTCCAGCTGCTGAGGAGTGGAGGTAATGTTCAGCAGAGGCTTTATGCCCGCTCCCAGCTGGTGCTCGATATGACTGTATAGGCTAGGCTGGTGCGATTAGGGCCTGGTAGATTGCAGGATTTACAGAAATCCAGGCATTTTTGCAGTGGGGAGTCAAACTGGGTTAACTGTGGGGAGCCTTTGGTGGGACTGGAGCAAGGTTCACGCTCATCTGCAGTTTTAGGAAGATTCACTTTACCTGCCTGTTGCTGTTCTCTTTGCCCTTGTGACTGGGAAAGAAACAAGGAATATTCCTTACTGCTGAGTAACAGTGGAGTGGGACAACGATGAATCTGGACACACAGGTGTGTTTTGCAAACCTTTGCACTGTGGCAAAGAGTTGGTAGCAAGGCTTGTTAAGTTGCATCACTGGGGAGATGCTGAGCATCCTACTGCCATGGGCAAAGAGCAGACCTCCTCTTCTCTCTCTCTCTCCCTCCCCCTGGGTAACATGATCACGGTGTGCAAGTACCCTAAAACCAGAGGCGAAAAAACCAGAGGCCAATCCAGGCAAAAAATGGAGTGAGGAAACGTGGACACGTTCAAGTGCAAGTTAGTCCTTATCTTCATTATAGTACCAAACCTGGTCTCTCGCTATGACCTTCCTCCTGGCTAGTGAGTGCATGTGGGACGATAGGCTAAACCCAGGGTTACTCTTTTATTTGGGCTGATAACCAGCCTTCTCCACAGTGTGGGAGCAGACTGAATCCCTCAAATGCTGATGGTCATCTAGGTCCTTCCTACAACTCCTCTCATGCCCTCAGAAAGGCGGGTAAGTTCTTCCACAGAGGGGTGGGTGTGTGCGTGTGGGTGTGTAAATCCTACAGCAGCTGGCTTAGTTTAATTCAACACAGCAAACCCATGGAACAGCGTTGGTCATTCTGTTAGGACGTGCATGCAAGCTGGATGCACCTTTGCTGTGTACGTAATTCCAAAGAGAGGAAAGTCCATTCCTCAGGCCAGCGTTTGTCAGTGCAGGAGGTTGGGGAGGTTGGCGGTAGTTTCAGAGAGCGGATAGGCTCGTTGTCCCAAGTCCCACAAAAAAATGGGAGAAATGTTGGAAGTTTAGGTTCTACAAGGTTAGATCAAGAGGCATAGGTAGGATTTGAGAGACTAAAAGAAAATTGCTGAGGCGAGCGCGAGGGCAGGAGCATTTGCTTCGTAGATGTGTGATCGAGGTGTATGTTACAGCCCTGTGGGTATGAGAGAGAGGATCATCCTGGCTGCAGGCTTCAACCTGTTCCGTCTCCTTTTTACTGTGAGCTGCGTAACCAGGATGCAGCACAGCATTGTTTGTCTTTGCAGTTACCTCTGTTTACTTCCCATGTGCTTATGGTTTTTCTCAAATCTAAGGAAACTTGCATGAATCGTGTATTTTCTTTTATTCATTGTGAGTTGCATTGAAATTCCTCTCCCACTGGAGAGGAGCCAGTGTAGTACCCCTGCATTAAAATAGACCATCCATGGAGGTTGATTTGTGTTTCGATTTTGAGTTTAATGTGACCTAGTCAGATTGTCTTTTATTGGGAGTCATGGGGAAGGGAGAGGAGAGGAGAAAAAAAAAAAAAAAAAAAACAAAAAAAAAACCACCAAATGCCCAAAAAGTAAAGCCAGGAGAGAGATTTAATTGTTGCATAATATACAGCATGTTTTGCTAGCATTTAGGTTACAGCGACTTCTTATTCTGTACACTTGAATTAATCAGGTGATCATGAGGAATTCACATGGTTCTTCTTTCCATGCTGTTGTTTCCAAAGAATTACGCACGCATCCCAGTCCCAAATAACTTTACAGTCTCAGGTGTGACAAATTTCAAGAACTCACATGTGTCAGTGTTTGACGGTATGTGTAGTGCCTGGATCATTAATTAAAATAATTTTAAGAATAAAAAGAAACTCAGACTGTGATGCTCAGTAGTGCTAGACCATTGCAAATAGGCTGTCAGAACAGACCAGCGGACTTTGGACTGCGTTCACCTCCTGGACCTTGGGAAGTGGCTTCTCGTAGGTTGTACGTGGTTTGCCAGATGTGGGTTTTCCAAGCTGTGGTCTTGCCAGAGTCCACCAGGTCTGATCGTTCTCTCTGCCTCTTTCTTTATTATTTGGATAGGAAATTTTTTTGAAGTGTTGTTTGTTCCTAGTTTACCTTCCTGCGGATTATGATAACATACTAGTACTGACCTAGCTGAGGTGGATCGGGGTCATTTGGAGTGGTAGTGTTTAGGAGTGGCAGAAAGTCTCATCATGATCAGATACTCGCGGTCTTTAGCTTACAGTCTTTGGTTTCCGAGGGGGCGGAAGGCGCCGCAGCGCAGGGGTGCGTGTCCGTCTGGGTCGGTGAGGTGTGGGCTCACACACGGCGTTCCTCCTCGGACCTCGGCACGTGGGAGGGATTGTGCATATAAGTACCTGGAGGTTCCAAAAACCCGACAGCTCCCTATTCAAATTAATCTTCTGATTTATAATGTTTTGGGTGTGTTTGACAACATTAAGCCAGCCATACCGAAGAAGAACACTGTGACCCGATGTACGTGTGGAAACTCTTGCTAGCTTCAGGTTGTTTCACGGTAGCAGGCAGTGCCAGTCCTTACAGCTGATACCAGTCACGCACCTTCTTTTGCATGTGATGTAACTTTTGTAGGCAAAAAAAAAATTTCCCTCTCGGACATGTTCCCTCTGCAACATGTGTAGTTTCCACTCTTGACCAAGGAATGGAAATAAGTTATATCTAGTTAAGCCTGCAGCCAGCGTCGGGGTATAACTCGCACTTTGCCACAGCTGTCTTTGGTTCGTAACATTGCTAACTGGCTCTGAAGGGGGGTGGAAAGTTTCTGAGCAATATTTACTGGGGCTACAGCTCATGAAAACACTTTTGCGATTCACGATTTGACTTTTGTGGAGGTTCATACGTTACAACACTAGGTTGCGCTGGGACTGTGGTTGAAAGGGGAACCCAGGGTTCCTGTCGTGGCGGTTGCAGAGCCCTGTCAGAACTGATGTAAACGCCGCTTCCCTTCTGCACACAACGTGTTTCTGCGTATTTTGTGCCCCTTGAAGGCACGTTGGCTGTTACTAACAGCTTTTGACGCTCAGGGAGGGAGGATCGTCTGCATTTTAGATGCCTCGTGAATCTAAAAGGCATCATATCATAACTAAGCAAACAGAGAAAGAGGACAAAAAGGGAGAGGCACACAGGTCACACAGGTGATCTGGTAGTGATGATTGATCCAGGTAATGAAAAGTGTGAGTGGTTGTGCCTGTTCTTTTCTGATCATGCAGTGAATATTCTCTACCCATTTACTTTCCTTTCTAGCCCTGTCCAGAGGTGCTGCAAGTTACTGACCAAAGCTGGAAAAAAGCAGTTTGGTTGTTTGGGGTTTTTTGTTGGTTAGTTGGTGGGTTTTGTTTTGGGGCGATTTTTGTTTAAGTATTCAGTGCTCCTGTGCTTGAGAAGCTTCTACCCACTTGCTCTGGGTACAGCCGCTGGCATAACGAAGGTGGTAAATGCTGTTAACGATGCTTACTGCCTGTCCAAAACACGAAGTTCAGATGAGCTGTGAGACAGTCTGCAGTGGGGAAATGCAGCTGAGGGCCTCTTCTGCCGCCAGAAAAGGTCTGCAGGCAGCATGCAGCCTCTGTGCCTGACATCTTCGCGGTCAGATCTTGAGCTTGCAGGGCGTTTTTTGTCTATGCTCAAATACTGTCATCAGGACGCTGTTACCAGAGTAACTGTTCTGTGGTGATTTCTAGCACTGGAAGAATCACAGGGTGTACTTCTAGCTCAAAAATGAGGAATTTGAACCAGCAACGCGTGCAATCGTACTGGGTGTTCTGTATTATATGAATGATGGCGAAGCTTTGCATAACAAAAGCAGCTCTCAAAGTATTCCGTTTATTTGGATTTTTAATGCATAACAAGTATCTGTAGCCACCAAGAGCTATACTTCAGTACTGAATTTAGCAGTAACTTGAGGTGCCCTGCCCCAAATAAATTTTAACCTTACATTAGTTTGCCACATTCACACTTATCTTAGCCTTTATTCCTCAGAAAGGAGTTGATCCAGAGCCAAAGGAATTAGGAGCGTAAATATACAATTCTTTACTTGCTTCTGATCCTGGGAAGTGTAGTACTAATACGTGAGGTAAGGACCTTTCATGGCAAAATGGCAAAAATATAAATATTTAGAGAATTTGGAGCATGGACCGTAAAAAATTTACTACCGCTTAGGACGATTTCTTAGTGAAACTGTGCCTTAGGGAGGGTTTTTTGGAGGATTTAACCTTTTTTTTTTTCTTCTTTTTTCTTTCTTCTTTTTCTCTTTTCCTGACTGAGGTTTCTGACCACTCGTTAGCAGAGGGGACCACAGATGGGTACGCAGCTGCGAAGATGACAGGGCTGGTGGAGCAGAGACAGTGGTCTGGGGATAAGATGAAGTGATGCTAGTTTGTGGGTTCTGTTGTGGCAATAATCCGTACAAGCAAGCAGAAGAAAGTGCTTGCGTTTGGTGCAGTGATGGCCAACAGGTAGCGGGTTGCTCCATTGCCAGAGCATTGAAGAGATTTTTCTGGCAGGCAGGACAGAGGAAGATTTCTGTGGGTTGCAGCTTTTGCAGTCTATCTGGGAATAAAAATATCTGAATTGCATAAATACCTTTGAAGAGAAGTTTTTCCAAATGTGAACATAACAAAGAAAGGAGGTGAAATGTTCTAGCAGTCACGTATGCATATACACCTGTATCTGAAGTGATTGCCAAATTTCAACGAGCTAACAGAAGAATGCTAAGGCTTATCTTAAAGGTAGCTGTTAAATTGAGGACAAGTTAAAGAAAGAAATCTTACGGATAAGAGAATTTTTGTGTATACTAATTATAGTAATTCTCAGTAGAAGAAATACCAGTCCAAGATGCCAGCAGTGCCTTTAGCTTTGCGATAACTCTGCTGAACTGCGTGATTATTTACAGGAGATTAGCACGTCTAATTTATTTTTTTTTTAATTTTTCACAGTCTAGTAAAGGACATGGATAATGTCCCTCCTGAGAAAAATGATGTAAAAGGCTGCCCCCGGGACTCTGGATATGACAGCCTATCCAACAAGCTAAGCATATTGGACAAGCTCCTCCATACTCACCCTGTGTGGCTGCAGCTTGGTCTGAATGATGCTGAAGCCATGGAAATTCTGCAGGCCCAGCCTCCTGGGGTAAGAAGTTGTATTTCAATTTATTTGATGAACGTATTAGCTGTAAAAAAAAGTCAACCAAACAAAAAAAACAACCACCCCCAAACAAACAAAAATGCAAAAAACCCCCCACCAACACCCCACCACCATTTCTGCTGTGCTTTGGATGATCCAAGTGAGGGCTTCCTGAGCGCTTGGCAGCTGGACCAGTTGGAGTGTGACCCATTACCTGGGCTGATACACTGGGGGACTAGTTTGGGGTCCTCTGGAGCTGATAACTAGACTGCTGCAATTACAGCTCCGAAGCTGGACCTTGCTAACCAGGGTTGTACATAACAGCATAACGAGAAAGCAGTAGATAAAGGAGAAATTGCAGCATTTTATCTTTCACTGGTGCCTGCATTAAACTTGCTATGATGGAAACCAGGCCCTCTCTGCTTGGATGAGGCTGATGGCATGTTTCTAGTGCTGCCCGCATGCTGGTGCGGAAGGATTGCATGAATGGGCTGGTGGGACACAGGAGCACTCCACCATCAGTCTCCTCCAGACTCTGCAGCTTCACTCAAGGCTTGGGATTTGCTGTGTGTGAAACTGGAGAGCTTGGAGAAGGGCATAATGGACTTGGTGTCATCTGTCTGTGTTACACAAGGATGAGATGCTTTTCTAAATGTTCTGCTGCCGTTTTACACCAGGCTGTGGGACCTGATACAGTAGTGACCGAGTAAAATTCTGAGACATTTTATATAGATCAGAGATCATGAAATTGTTGTGGTTCCTTTTGTCTGTGATCTGTCTCTGTTAAGGCATGTGATGTGATAAAACCATGTTCTTTTGCCTTCTCCACAACAGATATTTCTGGTCAGGAAATCTGCGAGATTGCAGAAGAAGGTCATCTCTCTGCGTCTGCCCGGTGACTGTGGGTCCTGCCTAAAGGAATTTGCAATAAAAGAAAGCACTTACAGTACGTTGAGAGTTACATACTTTTCAGCTATTTGTCACCCTGCACGAGCCAGGAGCACTCTGCATTGGGTTTCCACAGCAGAAGGTACCCAAAGTCATGCAAATAGTGTCACAGACCGCCTACAGTGCTCTTTGCGAGTGGGTCAGGCGTATCCTGGAGAAGGGAAGATATGCAGAAATGCTGAAGTCTGTGCTGGACACAGCTGGAATATCTCTTTTATGTACCTTGCTGAGTCCAGGATTCATTGATTATTATGGGTGGTGATCCTCTTCTGTGGAAACACAGTCTATGATCCTGTCTGCTCTCAATGAAATGTCCTTGCATTTCCTTGTACTCAGGGGACTATTCTTGGATGCACCTCTGTCAAGAGCTCTTTCTATCTACAAATTTCAGTGTGGATTGTTTGGGTTTTGGTTTGTTTGGTTTTGGTTTTTTGTAATGTAATAACTAGGTGGGTTTTAACCCTTTTGAACTGTTTCTGATGCATGATCAATGATCTTTGGTTTTTAATTCCAACTATATTTGTCCCCTGTTTTCTCATAGAAATGAGCAAATGTTAAGAGTTCCAGTCAGTTTCAAAACAATACTACCCTCCTCTCTTTAGAGGGAGGGTGTGAAAAATATATGTTTGAGATATAGGGATGAAAAAAGGAAGCTGCACCTGGTGAGCGTATGTGGTGCAGAAACTGCAAGTGGAGCAAATGGTTCATTTTAACAAGAAGAAAGTGAAAACTGGAGAAAATCGGCAACAATTTCAGTTAAACTTCCCTGAAGCAGAGGGCCTTGGTTAACTTCTGTTTCTGTTACTAAACTGAGATAATTTTAGTTGAGTTTTTCCTTTTTACCGCTCCCTTCCCCACCCCCAGCAACAAAATGTTAATTCTGCATGTCTGGTTTTGGTTCCAGTTACAAACAAGGCATGGCAAAGAGAAGAGAAAGCTATCAATTTTTTTTTTTTTTTTTTTTTTCTGTTTTGGTTTTTTCAGCCACAGAGTCATCTCTCTCACATAAGTGAATTAATATTTGTAGAAGGCTGCTTGACTGGCAGTAATACAGGTGTATTTAATCTGTGTGATCTAAGGCCGTGTTTGTAGGCTTGTTATACTAATGAATTCCCTCTCTCCCATCTAGAAAATAAAATAATAATATATTGTCTTTCATGAACGAAATTTTACCACAAGGGGGAAGTATCTGCTGATGTTTTTACTCACCAGTCACAGCTGAGGTTTTAATTGTAGTCAGGGATCTGAACAGCCATCTCCTCTTAGCCTGCCCCAGATCACCTGTGTGCTTAATGTCTGCATTGTTAGTGTCTCTCTTGAAGAAATCCCTTTTTCCAGGCACATAAATGACCAGGTTGACCTGTCCTTCAGTGTAAAGGCTGGATAAAAGATCAGTACCTGACTTAAGTTTTCCTCTGGTTCACGTGCAGCCTTTATAGTCGGTAGCACTGGAACCTTGTGTGGGGGAGCTGGCCTTACAGCATGGACTGCTGACAAAATCACGCCTTCGCTACTCACCGAGAGGCATTGCTGAGGTATCCAGAGCTGCTGCGTGGCTTTTGGCTTTCCCCACCGAGCCCGGGAGTCTACCTTGTTTCAGCCCAGATGTCTGAAGCGCCTGCAGCAGTGGAAGTACTTTCCTTGGGGGATGTATTTCAAAAGCATTCCTCTGCCAGTGAAACAGCGATAGTGCGCACACCACACCGGCCAGAGATTCACCCCCGCCATCCGGCTTTTCTAACTCAGGGATGGGCTGAGGCAATCACAGACTTCACATTCACCCCTTTGCAGAAATTGGCGGAGGCTGCAAAGAGACCGGCATTCTTGTACTTCAGGAACCTGTCTTAGCTACCGTTTTATTCCATAAACGCTCTTACTTCTGTTGTTCTGGGCAGTCATGTAACGCTCTTACTTCTGTTGTTCTGGTCGCAGTCATGTCCAGAGGTGAAAGATCTAGATTGTTTCACTCTAGGAGCTGCTTCTGCTTGATCTTCGTAGACTTGCCACCGGAATCGGAGAGAGCTTAACATAAGTGAGGTGGCAATCACTTCTGTGTCATCATTACTGTAAACAAGTGTTTATATCAATAAGAAACAATGGTATGGAGTGGGAGAAGATGAAAGGCATTGCTCGTGTCTTCCTCCCTAGTTCTGCAAGGCAATGGCATGAAGCAGAATTGTCTGAGTTTCTTTTAAAGGGTTTTCAGGTTAAATGGTTTTCTTTAAGTGAATGAAAATTTACCATGTTTCATTAGGTGCTAACGCATCTGGGGAGAAGGCAAGTGAGTTAGGGTGGAATGCAAGAGGAGGAAACGAGATTTAAAATTAGGTATATTAGTACACTGGGCAAACAAAGCCTCAGTTATTGATTTATTGTCTATTAGCAAAATGTTGTGCAATGCTAATCACGCTTGATCTGTTTCCCAGGAACTAGACCATATGTTTGGAATACAAAAACAAACCCACCACCAAGACTACCAGTGTATTCTTGAAAATGCCTTTAGCAGAGACATGTACTCCTCCACACAGTTGTTTTCTCTTAACCAAACAGTAGCTAGTTCGATGGTGCAGACTTGTTAATTTTACGCAAAAATCTGAGATGCATTTTATAAAGGTTTTCTAAGAAAGATAGATGTGTGATTCTTCCCTCTTGTAACTTTCTTCGCAGCGTTTTCCTTGGAGGGGTCCGGAATAAGTTTTGCTGATTTATTCAGGCTCATTGCTTTCTACTGTATTAGCAGGTAAGATGGTGTTATGTTCTGAGTTGCATTTGCTAGACTGTCTTGAAAAAAACGAGAGTCTCAAGAGTCTTCGAAGGTAATGGGAGGAAATAAGAGATGAGAATTGGAAGCAAGTCTCTCTGTCTTATTTGGTACTGATTATTGGAAGGCTGATGTTGTTACCCACCCAACTGTAAGGTGTTGCCAAGTCAAACTTGACTATAGCTGGTTTCTTGTAATGCTTTCTTAACTGGTCTGTAGCTCATTTGATAAGCACCATAAACTATCTTGCAATGTCCATTTCTTGTAATCGCTAGTAAAAAGCATTTTTGGAGCATAATGGAAAAATGTCAGCTCACACTGTAGAATATGACAACTGAGAGATGTGTAAGTTGTGAACAACAAAAATGACCTCATCAGCTTTCCAGTTTATGGTTGCCCAACTTGTTTTCCAGGTACTATGCAGAGAAAAAATAGCTGGTGTTTTTTATCTTTTAAGTTGTTTTCAATTTTATTTTTGTTTACTGGTGAAAACTTCTAGACTGATGCTCAAGCCTTACCTTTCTCCACAGACAGGACACGGCCAAGCTGCACACCTGCACGTTTCCTGAAGGAAGGGGGGAGAGGCAACTTTGGTCCTTTTACTGCAGCCAGGTTGCCAGTTAGTGCTGACAGTGGTGATTTCTGCTGTGGGAAACGCTCACTAGGGATGCATTTAGGTTTCTGTGCTTACTGTTTTTGTTTGTGGTGGAGAAGCATCTGGACCCTCTTTGTTACAGGCTTCCATTTTGCCAAGCTGTACGTGCATGTGATGAAAGAAGCGTTTCTACCACATAAGTAATTGGTCAGCACTCAGATGAGAAATGAGCTGAAACTGCATTTAAAAGCAGTTTAATGATGAGAGATTCCTTATCTTGTCACCCTTTCAGTTCTGCATGCTAGCCAGGCTCTGGTAAATTCCCTCTAAGTGCCTACAGGGAGCGTGCAGCAAATGTAGATTGATTGATTGATTTTGCATTAGTTTGTCCCTCTTCTTTCACCGAAGGCTCCAAGTTGCTTCGCATTTACTGAAAGTAAGCCCACAAACACACAGTAGCTTGTTGCCTTGCTCATGAGTCTCATAACTGCGAGTCTCTCTGCAAAGTGGCGTTTCTTAATGGTATTTCAGTCAGCCAAGTGTGAATTTAGTGTCCTGATGAGTCAGGCCTCCCATTCAGTAAGCACATACAAAACTGCATAACCAGGCTCGTCACCTGTTTATTGTTCTGTTCCTTTTCTTGTTGCCCTTTGGGGAAGGGAAAGGAAGTGAAAAGAGTGGCGATCACAACTTGGACATGGTGTTAAAGCTTTCCTAGTGCACCTTCTTAAACACAACTTTAGCTGCAAACCCATCCACAGATACCAGTAATAAATACAACTTCAGCTGCAAACCTGTCCAGAGACTTCAGTAAATGAAGCTCGCTCTTCGACTGTGGGTATGCTTTTGGAAGCAGATGCTTATTTTCCCATTCAGTGGAGAAACATCCTAAGTGTTTCTGTTTGCCTAATGTTTCTTAAGTGGCAGCATCTACCCAGCATCCTCGTCCTCTTCAGGCAGCAGTCTAGGATTGCTGGGGGTGCAAGAGGAAAACGTATAGACTTCATAGGGAAGCAGATAGGTAGCTATTGTGAGAAAGAGTACATTTGGTACATCACAGCAAAAACAGGACGATTTCCTAAAACCAGAGGGAATTTCTTGCAATAGATACTCAGTCAGTTTGTATGAGGAGTCAAGAGTTACCTGTCTTTGTACTGAGTCCATGATGATGTTCGAGACTCTAGATTATCTGTGATACGATGTTGAAAGTGTCTTTTCAAATACTTCTTAGCTAGTCTGTCAGTCTCGTGCATATGCTTGATTTGAGTGGTGTTCTGAAATCCTGTTTTTTCCACAAGTTAACATACATGATAGAGAATATTTATGTGATAAAAAACCACTGTCTGTGCTTCCACAGGTGGTTGGCTTGTTCACAGCCTTAAAAAAAAAAAAAAAATTGTGCTGACACCAGTTGTATGTAGGATTCCTGTGCTCCATTTTTTCTCATTTACTCTTAACTACATGTGTACTTCTACTACAGATTTTGCAGTTTAGCATGCACTGTTGTTTGAGGGTTTATCGGTACAAATTGGGCGGGCAAGAGGTATACTATTGGTTGATGGTAGTACTCATACAAGATGCATACGGTTAAGTAGTTTTACCCCTTAAAATCTCTGTCTAAAGGCTTTTTACACTGGATTTGGCTTATGTTGTTGTTCGTGCATTCATGCATCTCCCTTTGTAAACATCCATTGAACTTCTAGTATGCAGTGAAGAGAAACCACATGAGAATAAATTATAAAGACTTTATTAAATGAAGTGTGCTTTCAGCCTAGGACAGAGTAGCACCGAAACATCCTAACTTAGAAATTTTTAGGGTAGTTGCCCAAGTACTCATTTAAATTTTTATTCTGAGAACTGGAATTCAACTTTGAGAGCAATCAACAGCGTATTCAGAAAATAAGAAGCTTCCTTCAAGGGTTAAGGGCAGATAACGCACTTGCATCCCACTGGTATGCTTGTAAAAGACCAAGTGTGAAAGCTTCTGCTGTAGTGGAGAAAATACTGCATGGCTCTGTGGAAATGAGCCTAAAGAGAGTCCTGGGGACTTGGATGTCATTTGCACTTCACACCAATTTCCAATGTAAAGGAGCCCTGGGGCTGGTAATGTTTTCACTGTGTGCTGTGTGTTTAAGGCTCTTGCTACCTGCCACAGCTCAAGAAGAAAATAAGAATCAGAGCTCAGCCACTGCCAGTGTTGGGAAAAAAAAATGCTTCTAAAACTGTGGATGTTGTTGTGAAAACCATAATTGTTTTTCTCTTCAACAACAGAGATGTCCTTCCATTCACCCTGAAGTTACCTCATGCTATTGCTGCAGCAAAGACAGAAGCTGAACTTGAAAAGATTGCTCAGCTTGGACTGAGTAAGTAGTTCTCTACATAGATGTCATTCCCTGTAGCATTGCTGTAAGCTTGAAGAAATAGTCTGTATCAATAAGTAGTTCATATTGGTCAGTGATGATACAGATTTCATACGGAAAAGCAGCTTCTCTTATTGGGAAGGCCAAACCTTGTACTTGCCAAATGGTGGCCTTGGTGCTCTCCCTTCCTCCTGTGCCTTCTGTGATACTTTTGTTAGTGCTGTTTCCTTCCTTCCTTTCTCCTCTCCCCTCTCTGGGCAGCCCTTGAGCAAAGCAAGTTTTACATTCCCCAGGCAGAGGTTTGATGTAGCTTCTCCAAGGGCTAATGTTGGCCGCAGGCTCACATAGGAGGCACTAGCTTGATAACTTACTGGAGTTGCCAGGAGAGTGTAGGAACTGAGGTTCACCATTAATAAAACGTCTTTCAGATTGACGCGTGATCTTAGAATGGTCATTTTTGAGATCAGTGGCTCGGTGCGGTAGCATATTAATAAAAGGAGGAGTGTATACATAGGATCTGCAGAATGTATGCATGCACATTGGTTTGGTGAAATTTTTCAAATAACGAAAGAAAATGCAAGGACGTGTCCTTGCATCGCCTGACTGCTACAACCAAATACAGGCTCATTGTAAACCATAAACCTTGAGCTTGCAGGAGACGCAAAGCCTGATGGGATTTGAAGCATGGGCTCCACCCAGATGAATCGTTGAGCAGCTCCTGCGAAGTGCTGAATGGCCTCGTTTCCTTTTGCAGGAAGGGAGGGTTGACTGTCAGCAGTCTTTGTCCCTGTAGATTTTTGAATCATCTTTGATTTAGAAACGGATCCTCACTAAATCAGTGTTAGCATGAGGCTCTCTAGAACTATTTGGTGGGACTTTGCAGCAACGCCATACACAGGGGAAGTATTGCACTGCTTTGCATTTTGGTTTGCTGTGGTAGTGATGGAATTAAGGGATTTGTTTTAGCGAGGAGACAAATGACTTCTGCACTGCTTATCTGCAAGTTTAGGTAATTAGATAGATGAAAGTATGGATTTTCATGGGAATAGAGGCAAACATGGAACTGTTGATTAGGTGAATGTTTGGACGGGGGAAAAAAAAAAAGGTTTTGTTGGGATGCAGTGTAGTGAAGACAGTCTCCCGGTGACACCTGGAAGCCCTAATGTAACATTAGGTGAGTTTCTCCATAGGAGATGATAATGGTGGTGTTGAGCAAGCTCTCCAGACTAACCACACTGTCTTTGTCCTTGGTACCTGCGAGCACCATCGCCTACTTGCTGCAGAGTTAGTCTTGCTCTTGAACAGTCTCTGTCAATGTTGTGTGTGTTGTTTCTTTAAGCTACTACATTTGAAAGCTGAAGAGGAGACTGATGGATCAGCGTCTAACTGTGATTGGTGTATTTGGGATCAATTACCTACTATACACCAGATTAAGATCACGTTTCTGTGAGCAAAAACCAACAACAAAGTTGAGACTTTGATGGAGTTTTAGGTGTCCACGTGCAAAAGAGCACACCAGGAAGTCAGCCCTTTGATGCTGCGGGCCCAAGAGATGCCTAAAAACTGCCGAGGGCCCTGCCTGTTAAGTGTGAGCTTTCCTTAAGCAACACGTAGGCACGAAACAGCCTGGTCTGAACATGGAGGGCTGTAGCTCCTGTCAGAGCGCTGTTATGCTGTAGGCTCAGAGGGAGAACTGTACAAGGCAGGTTCAACAGCATGTAGCCCAGCAAACCGCAGCAGGAAGAACCGGTGGTAAAGGTTTCAAGGCTGTTGCCAACCTGTGAGGCCTCATGTGCTGAACATGAGATTCTCTGTCTCTTGTGTTTCACCTGCAGCGGCGCTTACATCATGTGTTTGCAACAGCCCACGTGCCAGGCACACCAGCCAGTCTGCTGAGGGATCTGCAGGCAGGATGTGAAGTCATGGAGCAGGAAAACAGCAGCAACATTGCATGACTATGTAGAGAAATATGCCTGCCTACATAGGTTCTCTGGCAGTGGTCTAACACCAGGGGCCATTTCCTGACTTCTGCCCCGCAGGCAAGACACAGCCGTCACGCGTGGACCCTGTGGTGGAGTGCTTGGCATTCAAGCAGTTGGGCCCAGCTGTCATTGCTCGACAGCCCAAATGGGGCATCTTGATGCTACAGGAAAAGGGGGCATGTCGAGATCGGCAAATTTTAGCAAAATCTCCCTCCTCTGGTATTCCTCTCTTATTTCAGTCCGATTGCCGTCCTCAAGGGCTTGTCTGGTTTCAGTCTTCATACTGTCAGGAGCTGATGGGCTTTACCGTTGACTCAGTTTCACAAACGTGCTGACGCTTTGCTGGGACAAGTGCAGAGGCTGCAGCTGAAAGTTGCTGGTTTAGCACAGGTTTTCCACACTGCTGGTGTGGGACTGCACGTTCGGGCTATTTATGCGCTGCTGAGTGTCTGAAACCTCAGGCAAACTGTGTCACCATTGCCAAGGCAGGGCTGCATGCCAGTGCTCTTAAAGACACACCAGCATTTGATCTGCATGGCTAAAGATTACGTGTGCACCCACCACAGCAAAATGTGAGCTGTCTTTCATGTGTGGTTTCATTTGTTCACTATCAAAAGAAACCAAACCAAAATTTCTGTTGAGTTGCCATAAGTGGCCATCAGCTGGTGTAAATCAGCCTAACTGTTGTCTTTAATGGAGTGAGCTTATTAATACCAGCTGAGAATCTAGGCGTATTTCTCCTGACTGAGATGCTAGTGAGTAGTTTATGTTCATTTCAGTCTCAAGTTGGTAACAATTACTGTGTTACAGTCTCCGTTCCTTTCTTTGATTCTCAGTTTATTTTTAAGCTTAGTTCAGTGGGCTGATCTGGAGCTATGCGTTGGTCATGATATTTAAAAACGAGTAAGAGCAGCCCCAGGAGTGTAGCATGCAGTTATGTCTAGTGGTGCTTTAAGAGGTTCACTTGGATTTTTTTTTTTTTTTTCCCTTGAATTAATAAAAGCTTGTCTAAATTTCCTAATACTTGAAACTGGTGACGTTGAGCTGAATGTTCTGAAAGCCATCTGCGTGCTGTTTTGCATTCTTACATTAACACGATGATGATTTTCAGACTTTTGGAGCTCCCCGGCTAACAGCAACCCCCCGGATCCTTCACCTCCCCGTAGGCCTGTGCCTTTGGATAGCGCTTGTAAAGACTCGCGTCAGCTCTGCCTTATAAATGGAGTGCATTCTATACGAACCAGAACGCCTTCAGAGCTGGAGTGCAGCCAGACCAACGGAGCGCTGTGTTTCATTAATCCCCTCTTCTTAAAAGTGCACAGCCAGGATGTCAGTGGAAGTCTGAAAAGGCAGAGCCCGAGAACTCAAGACGTGAATGGCACAGCGAGGCCTCGCTCCCCCCCGCCCCGGCCGCCGCCACCTTCTATTAATAGCATCCTCACGAGTCCACAGCTTGCCAGGACTATAAAGCAGGCGAGCATGCCAGAAACAGTCAACCATAAGAAAGAGAGAGGCTTGGATTTGCTGCAGAATAAACCAACCCCTATTCCACCTCCTCGGCTGAAGAAGCAGGCTGTTTGCTCAGAGGTGGAAGGTAGCTCAAAGACCACGGCAGTAATTCGACCTGGCCGCAGCTCGGTGAGCGTGCCCGAAGCTGCTGGCGTTCCAGGTGAAACCCTGCCTGAGCCGGCTCCAGCAGCTGCCAAAAAGACGGTAGCTACCAGCTCTGAGTCACACATACCGTGGAATGGAGGCAGGCAGAGACTGAGCGACATGAGCATTTCCACCTCCTCGTCTGACTCGCTGGACTTCGATCGGAGCATGCCGCTGTTTGGCTATGAGGGGGACACTAACAGCAGCCTGGAGGATTTTGAGGGGGAAAGCGACCAAGAGAGCATGGCACCCCCTTTGAAGCCCAAGAAGAAAAGAAGCAGTTCGTTTGTTCTCCCCAAGATTGTGAAATCTCAGCTGCGGAAAGTCAGTGGAGTTTTCAGTTCCTTCATGACCCCTGAAAAGAGGATGATTAAGAAAATTGCAGAGATGTCCCAGGACAAACGCACTTATTTTGGATGCCTAGTGCAGGACTATATCAGCTTTCTCCAGGAAAACAAGGAGTGCCATGTTTCAAGCACTGATATGCTGCAAACGATTCGGCAGTTCATGACCCAAGTCAAGAACTATTTGTCCCAAAGCTCCGAACTTGATCCCCCAATCGAATCGCTGATTCCCGAGGACCAAATAGGTAAGAAGCACTGTCCTGTGTTTTGGGGGAAGGTGAAAATGTGTAACCTGTGTTTACGGTGATAGTCTTTGTGCCAGTTTGGAAAGCTGGGGTTGACTTTGCTAGCAGAGTTAGAGCCGCTGAGTATTTGAGTCTTAAAACAAAACAACCGCACGCCCCCCAGCCCCCAGTCACCCTAGCAACTCAGAACAACTGTGCTACAAAGTTGTTGATAAAAAGTTATCCTTAAAATAGCTGCAGTGTTGGACTTTTTACCTGTGATTGCTAGTTTTTCATTTTATTTTTTAGCCGCTGTACTGTTAACAATACAGAATCCTTTATTTGCTGGCACACATGTGTTTTTCCCTGAATTGGGCTGAAATAGTTCTCAATGCTTGGACCAAAACTGTGCCAATATTAACTCTATGAATTGTAGCCGTAAAACTGGAATTTATTCACAACCAGTGACAGTTAAGAGCAGAGACACATTTCATAGCAACCTTCTTTTTAAATAAATCTCATTCTTCCGAACATTCTCATTCACTCCTAGCAAAGCTGCACTGTCCCTACACTTGAAGCTAAATAAAAAGATACATAAGAGTTTTAAAAACCAAACAAACGTATGCAAAAGAGAGAAGGGGCTGCTAGTCTCAGGATTTCTATACCTCTCTGTTACATGTACGTGTTTATAAATGGTCGCAGATAAGCTATATGTTTGAATACATGTTTTAACAACAGAGACTTGTGTATCCACAAAAGTGAAATCATTGTTGCTGCATAAAATCTCACTGCCCCTCTATCTTGCTGAGTCTGAGCAGTATTTGTAAAAGAGCCTATAAGCCGCATTTAGGAGGTAAACATCCCTCGGGGCAGAATACTTTCCTTGTGAGCTCACTTCAGTCCTAATTTGCTTGTTTTTCGCCTGTACCCCAGTGTCCCAACAGTTGGCCTGGTGCAAAACTGGCAGATGTTTTTTTCTCTGGGACTAGAGGGTAATTTTATGTTGACGTTTCTGTCTGTCCTTGACCAAGAGGAAGTATTCTCACCTAACCTTAACTTCATTTACACAAAGTCAAGCAAAAGTAATAAGCACTGCTAAAGCAAATACAACACTACAAAGAGTGTCCTCGAAATCGAGACTCTTTCAAAGACGTGTAATGTTCTCACTAGAATAATAAGGAATATTATGTGGGTGTTATGTGGAAGAAAAAACAGCTAATTGAGCAGTGGTGCAGGCGCATTTTCGCCTGGATTTCTGCAGAGTACTGGATATTTGACAAAGCAATACAGATCTAGCTTGCTTGTAATTTTGTGAAAGCTTGGTTTGACTTGTACTTCTCATTGTAAGGGTGTGGTTAAATTGGGCTGTGGGTCTCTGAAGACTGGCAAAATGCTGTCTGCTTTTAAATGTTTCAGTACTTTGGAGTAGCATACGCTATGAAACATAACTACTAAACTACATTGGTTTTTTTCAGCAACAAAAAGTCTGGCTTTGATCATGTGATTAAATGCAATTAATTTATAAAGCAAGATAGTTTAAACAAAGGAAGAACTTGCTTTTGAATCATCTACTGCCTATGGCTCCAGCCCGCCAACAACCACAGTGGATCAGGAGCATCAGATGTTGCTGATCTAAGCAGATAGCTATGTGACAGCAAGATTTAGTCATCCCTATAGAGAACTTTTTATGATGTAGCCCTTGAGCCTGCAAACAACCACAGTGGATCAGGAGCATCAGATGTTGCTGATCTAAGCAGATAGCTATGTGACAGCAAGATTTAGTCATCCCTATAGAGAACTTTTTATGATGTAGCCCTGCCTATTATCCGCTGTTTTGCTTGACTATTTCAGTACGGAATTGCAGCCAGAATTTTAACTTCGTGAGCAGTCACTTATCTTCTCTTGTCAGTTTACACTTCTGTGGTGCAGGTTTTTTTTCTCTCGGCGTGTCAGCCTCGGGCTGGATGCGTGCTGCTGGGAAAATGCTCCTCCTTTCTGTTCATCATGTACTGTCCCGCGGCGGTGGCGAGTCAGTGTCAGAGCTCAGAGGCTGTGGTCAGGTCTGGTGACTGCCGGGTTGGAGCAGGCCACAGCGGCCGTGCCGCGCCGGAGCCTCGCAGGAAGAGGCGCCGGGCGCGTTTGCGTAGCAGCGGCTTCACCCTGCGACTCGGACCCCGCTGCTGGTGCCGCCGGGGCAGGGAGGCAGCCTGTAGCAGAAAATGTTCGGGCCTCTCGGCTCCCCGGGCCAGTCCTGCCTCTGCGGAGAGGAGCTGGAGCCAGTCCTCGCCTCCCTCTCCCACCCAGCAGAACTGCGGCTGCCCGTCGCCCGTTCCGAGGCAGCCAGACCTCACCTCATCCCACGGTTGTCTCCTGAATTTCAGTATGTGCTGGAGGAGCACGCCCCCAGCCTTAGTGAAGCCCTTGGCGTTTGGGACTTTCTCCTGTGTCTGTGTAGAGACCGTGTAGCTTTTCTTGTAGAACTGCATCACAGGCTTCCCAGACTCTTGCAAGCAGAAGGCTTCTGAAGGAGATCTTTTAAGTTTCCCAGATAGGGCGCATATCAAATAGTTTAACTTCTCCCAAATCATCGGGAGAATGTGCATCAGCGTTTCTAATTATTCCCAACAGGTGCCTCCTAATCTTAGCACTGTAGGCTGTTAACCCTTCCTCAAACAATGAGATCCCCAGTGTTGGGACAGAATCAAGACTAAGGCACACGGCTTTTTATTGTTTAAGGATGAATGCAAAGTACTGTTTTAAATCACCCATACCTGAATATGTATCCACAGACTAAAGACCTGGGCTGGTCAGAGAAGACCCTGATAGTCTACAGCTGCTTGAACAGCAAATGTTTGGGAGTTTTTCTTTGTGTTTCTTCTTTGCCTGGCTGTGAACAGAAAGGAGTCAAGTTGACTGTCATCGCTTCACCAGGTGATCACCAGGCAGGATCTGACACCTGAACAACTTCAGTCTCAATGCCCGAATCTGGGCCTAGCCCAAGAAATGGCTGGTTTAAATAATTTGGCAATAAGGTGTTAACTGATCGTGTGGGAAGGTGCCCTAACAATACTGCCTGTTGTTTGTTTTGGTATTTCTAATGCGTAATCGATTTGTAAACGTTGAATGTTAACAGAGGCTTGGAGAGCGTTGGCCCCTTACTGTGGCAGGACATGCCTGGTCGCAGGGACCTGGGTCCGTACGGAGGAGTCGCGGGCAGACAGAGCTGGAGGCTGTGCGGAGGAGCGTAGCCCCTTTCCCGCGGGAGCTGGTGTGCCAGCTGCTCTGAGGGAGGCTTCTCTGAGCAGTGCTTTTTGCCTTTGTATTCCTCTTGCCGAGAGGCAACGTTTTACTTTTGTTCTTACGAGATTTTATCATGTTCACTTTAGGCGTGTTTTCCACTTACGAAGATAACTTTAAACGTGCTCTCCAAAGGACTGGCAATGCCCTTCTCCCACCCCTGCCATGATACCATATGCAGATTTTGTATGTGAACTCTCTGCTTTATCATCCAAATTTTTAATGAAAACACTAAATAGACTAAAGCCCAGGGCTGACCCCCATGGTACCTCTTTTCAGATATCTGTCTTGTTTGACAGTCAACCGTTGATAACTGGGCTCTCAGTGCAGTATTTTGTGTACCTGTTCATGCACCCATACCTTATGGTAATTACAGCAAGACAGTATTTCCCTTGTTTGCTTCTAGGAAGGTTGCATGGAATAGGGTTACGGGTCTTAAGAAGGTTAAGATACAGCCCACTCCCTGCTCTCCTCTTCTTCACTGATCCAATTACCCTCTTAAAGGAATTAGAATGGTATGCCACCGTGTCTTCTTGAAAAACTCATGTTGGCTGTTTTTTAGCGCTGTGTTACTTTTTAGGTGCTCGTACATTTGTTTTGTGTCCTGTCTCCCTACCCTGTCAACGTCCTAGTGTCCTTTCTCGTTGAGTTGAGGCTGACTGACGTGTCCCCCAGCGTTCTTCCGTTCACTACAGGAGCAGGGGGATAGGGCAAGTAAGCAGCAGCGCTAAAAGCGCTGGCAGAGGCAGAGGATTTGGTTCTCCCTTTCCCAACCATCCCTTTGATTTGCTTTGTGACTTATTCCCTGCTCCTTTATTACCTCTTCTTTAAGAGAAGACGTTTACTACACAGCCATAGCGTGAGTTTTAATTAACCCACATCTGATTAAAGCAAAACAAACTTAATAGAGAGAGTTCTGTGATTCATTGGTGTGCTTTATGTAGGTAAAACGAGGGGAGGTTTATCCTAGAGACCTTTCTTCCCTAGTTGCTCAACTTCTGCCACTGCCACTTATCCATCGCCTGCCTCAGTCCTACCTCTGTTTTCAGAGTTGTGCAGATTATCAAGGAATGTGGCTTGTATGAAGTCTTACTTTCAAGTCTTGCTCCTTCGGAGGAGATGCCCTTGTCTGCACCATGGGCTAGGTATGTCACTGTAGACATCCAGCAAGAACTGGACACTTGCTCATCCTGGCATGAGCTGTCTTAAAGTAGATGGGTATCAGTCATGCCAGTCTATGACTATGCAAGATATTAGGAAAATCCACAACAAAGCAAATGCAGTGTGGTCGGGCATCCTGCACGTACATGCCGTGGTGTTCCGAAGCAGCCTCCTGCTTTCAGCCTCCCAGGCAACGTTACTAGTGCAGGACTGCGCCGTTTTGTCATGGTTCCCAGGCTCACTCAGTCTCTTACTGAGCCCTTCTTTTACTGATGAGCGGTTGGGCTGTTGCAGATGACGAACAGGGCTCGTGTGTAAATCCAGGGCCTGGAAACTGACGGGTAATCTCAGTGCGGCAGCAACAGCTGGTAACAGGTAAACTGACAGCCTGGAAAAGGGAAGAGCGCGCCTGCAGTTTCAGGCAGGGAGGGTTGGAAAGAGGCTGCGTAAGGACACTTGCGATGACTAATATGTTGTCCTTTCTAGATGCAGACTTGTGTGGTTTGCAGCAAAACAAAATAGCATGTCAGCACAGGATACAGATGTGTTTCCACAAGTCACAACGAAACTAGCTGGCTGGCCTTTACAATTCATTTATCAAAGCATTTCCAGTTCCCATTTTGAGGCTAGAGGCTAATTATAACTGTCATTTCAGGAAATCTACATGGCGCTCAGCTCAAATGGTATTCAATTAAAAAAAAAAAAAATAAAAATCTGAAGAGTGTCTGTTTTGGTTTTGGAGTATTAAGCATCCTGGGAGGATGTTAGAAAACAGTTCGCCTATGCTGAAGTAAACAGGAATTTTTGTTGCCGATTTGGATCTGAGAAATATACAGAGATGTTAATGCAAAGGATCAGTCCTCAATTCACAACTTAGATGCCGATTTGCCTGGGAGACCCTCCTATGCTTTTTGTGGCCATTAGAAGTTAAACAGCGAAAGCTGCTGCTGGCGGGGAATTGTTTCGTGGGATCGTATCCAGAAACACGTTTCTCTGAAAGGGGCCAGTAACGGCAGTTTGGAAGGAAAGGGTAAATAGTTGGATGCTCTGATCCCAAACATGCTTATAGGTGTCTTTTGACACTGAATATTGGTCTAAGACCCAGATCACAAGAAATGCTGTCCTTCCAGGCTTTAATAATAATATAAATATTTATATAGGTTTTATATTAATTAGGATACATGGGGGTGTTTTGTTGACCATTAAAAAAAAAAAAACAGTCCAGTCCTTATCAATCTTGCTATGTTGTTGGCCTCATCAGCTTGCCAGAATTTGCCGCTTTTTAATTTGAGGGCAGAACTCTGTGGTTCTTATGTCTGTGCCAAGAATTCATAAGGGAGAAAAAAAAAATGTTGTGTGTTGTTTGGGGTTTTGTTTGGTTTGGTGGGAGTTTTTTTGGTGTGTTTGTTGTTGTTGTTTTTTAAAACTGTCATATCTTAGTCATTTCCTCATTTTCTGGCTAGATCTGTGCAAACCTGCTGCATTAAAATGACAGTTTCTCTCAGTCTACCCTTACCGAGCCGAGGCAGTTAGTATCTCCTTGGAATCACAGCTATATGTCCTTTATTTCACTTGTCTCCTATTAGCTGTACTATAGTCACTGAATAGCACTGAAGGATGCTTTACTAAATATCCCGTCCTATTTTTATTTACCTGATGGCGTTAAAAGCACAGAAACCATTAGGAACAGCCTTCAGCAATAAGTACTGGGACCCTGCGCGGAGCTTTGAGCGCAGCCATGTGAGCTATCTGCTCTCCTCCTCTGTGCTGCTTCAGATCAATTTAAGTTCCCGGAGAAACTGTGGAATGCGATCGAGTAAATTTCAAAGCAATTTCCAGGCGCACTGCTTTTGGAGCCTGTGACGAATTGCGAATATGAAAGGACGCCTCCTCGCCATCTTGCGCAGCCATGAAAATCCGTGCGATTCATCTGTACGGGAAGCTGTGGGAGTGGCACTAACTTACTAAGGGCTGAGAGCAGAAGACTTAAGGCTTCCACTTCTCGCCTACAGAAAACAAGCCTGGCCCCAACCAAGGACTGGGGCTCTGCGGAGGAATTTTCCCTCCCGGTAGCATCCAGTTCCTGTAGCCTCTGGGGCGGGACTGCTTCTGCAGCTCCCTCCATACTCATGCTGCAGGCAGCAGCTGAACCAGCTCCAGCCTGGAGCCTACAGCAATCAGTCACAGAAGCGTACTGAGTTTTCCCATCTCCCATCCCAGGCTCGTTGCTCCATCATTATCAGACCAAGGGTTCTGAGGATCCATGCTGAATTCTTCTACAATTCTTTTACAGCCTCCTGTGACCAAATGTGATGGTGACCCTGCTTTACTGAGATGAAGGCTGACACTAAATATTCATGTGCAGAACTTCCAGTGGAAGCCTGTGGGAGTTAAAATTTTATGAGGATAGAGTTCTCTCACTTTACGTAATGTTTGGCAGCACCAACTGCTTTGATTTTGACTTAAACAAGACCAGGCGGTTGGAATGTAAATTGCAGAGGTGTTCCACTTACAAGCAAAGCAGTTGGTATTTCTGCTATTTAAAAAACTGGACAGGAAGTAGAAATAAATACAGTAAGCTGAATTGTCAAAAAAAAAAAATCATCATCGGTGAATCTAGGAAGGAACTGCATGTACCCTCTAGAAATTTAGCTAGCTAACATACCCATGCATGAGATTTGTGCGTTTTTCTTGGTGGAAAACTATTTCTGCCCCATGAGCCCTGAGGATGGCTTTGATGGCAGGGAGAGGCAGTTTCTGTCACTGTGCAGAAGGGTGATGCTTCTCCTTTTCTGACTGGGTTTGGTAGTGCTGTCAGCAGTGATTGCGTGGCTCCGCCAAGTACAATAGATAAGGTTTGGCCATTTGAAATGTTGCCACTTGTTTTGTATAACTGGTGGCTCTGGTCCGGTGAGAAGCTGGATCCACCGTCCACGCTGCGTGACAGGCCATCGAGAACGCGTGTCAGACTGGTTGTGCCTTCACTGGTGGCCACAGGGAAATCTAGAAAATCAGAGGGCAAATGCTGCTCCTCAAGTTCACTCCTTCTCCCTTCCAGTAGCTTTTGCAGTCTCCATTGTGAGGGAGAGCCCAGATGCATTTAAAGCATCCAGGAATGAAGGCTTTGCCACATCCATCAGGGTCTCAGGAGGGGAAAATAGCAAGAGAAGCTACAGAAGCCCCAGCAGAATTGGGATAGGGGAGATGGGAGCTCCCAACAGAGTTGGACGTTTGGGAATTGCATGCCAGACAAACACAGAACAAATGCTACATATGAAGCAAAGGCACCATAAGAGGAGGAGTGTGTGAAGGGCGTGTTTGCGTGGGAGAGAGAGGTATGAAGACCCAAAAGGAAAAATGGCTGAACACAAGGATAAAATAAATGAAAGCATAAAGCAAAAGCAAGAAAACAGAATTAGGTAATGCTTGTTTGGGGGTGTATGTGTAAATTCCAAGCCTTAGAAACAGTCTGCAATTTTTTTTAAAAAAGGAGGGGAGGGGAGGGAGAAAAGAAAGAGACCACGGTCTAAGAAAAACACACAAGAAGAGGCAAAGAACTTGGAAAGGGCGTGAGGTTTAATTAAACTTCAATGAGTCACCACTAGTAGCAGAAATGTCCACTGCCAGCTTGTATAAATGTGTGATCTAGCAGTGACGCAGTCTCTCCTCTTTCTGCTTTTGGTCCCCGTGCTCCCCTAGTCCACCTGCCTACTCTGGGCTCCGGTCCTGCCCCACCGTCAGGGCGCTGGTGCAGCGGCCAGGCTGAAGGGTCCCCAGTTTCTTTTGTGCTTGTCGGAGTTCACTGTGGTACAAATAATTGATGGAAGCTAATTATTAATGTAAGCTATGTTGCTATAGGGACACTGAGCGGGAGAGGAACTTAGCTGAAAAAGTAGAGGTTTGCAGAGAAAATGTTTAGCAAAGAGCTTTCTCTGTTGATGTGGTCCATACTTTGAAAATGGAGAATGACTGTTAAAGGAAAACTTGAGTAGAACAAGAATAAAAAAAAACAAAGTTAGTGGTTACTGTGCCACGTGCACACTATTGCCAAACAAAGAACTTCAGACTTGATGACAAAGCTGTATATAAGCTTGCATGATGAAATCCGAAGCTGGACAAACACAGCTTGGTTTTCATTTATAGTTTAAAGCCCATAATCTGTCCAAGTTCATAAAGATCTTGACAAAGTTGAGCCAAGTTTTAGGAGACCGTGGTTGAGTTATAGTTTCTGATGGAAACTATGCAAGAAGGATGGGCTTTCATTCCAAAGCAGACAAAAGTTATGGTTTTGACTGTGTTTTGCTTTAAGTTTGGGAGTTAAAGGCTAAGCTCAAAGTAAAATAAAACTCGGAGACTTCTGGCCAACAAAAGAAAAAGTTAACTGGAGCCACAACTTGCTTTTATTTTTTTGACTTTTTTTTTTTTGTGACAGTCTGTAGTCCGTGGGTTTTTTTTTTTTTTTATTTACTGCATTGCCATAAATGAAAATGAAATACAGATTCTGCTCTGCCTTTTGTTTTCTTGTTAACAAACATCTGGAAACTCAGCTTGTATAATAAATAGGCCTTAGCAAGTAGGTTTTGCTCTCCAGTGTTTCTCTTGGGAATGGTTATATTAATATTGGCTCTGCTCTAGAGGGGGAAGTCAGCTGGACTTGTATTTTCCCGTTGCAGATGTTGTCCTGGAGAAGGCCATGCATAAGTGCATTCTGAAGCCGTTGAAGGGCCACATTGAAGCGATGTTGAAGGAGTTTCATACTGCGGATGGTTCTTGGAAACAGCTAAAGGAAAACCTGCAGTTGGTGCGGCAGAGGAATCCTCAGGAACTGGGCGTGTTTGTTCCAACACCAGACTTTGTGGACGTTGAAAAGATTAAAGTCAAGTTCATGACCATGCAGAAAATGTATTCACCTGAAAAGAAAGTCATGCTGCTGCTGAGAGTTTGCAAATTGATTTACACTGTTATGGAGAATAACTCAGGTATGGTGCTTCTCGTGGTTCAAGTTCACTGGTACTCCAAACCTGGGGTTGTCTTTTGGTGGAGGAGATCAGACCGCCTGATTCTGCAGATACGTCTCCTTCTCCTGGAGCTCTTGCAGTAACTCCTTGCCCTTGTGAGAGGGATTCTTCCTCTCCACTTCTTTCCTCATATCTCTGACGCATCTGGCAGCACAGCTTACAAATTCAGTGTGAAGCAGAGCTGGGAAGCACCTTAAAAAAAAAAAAAAAAAAAAACAGCTTTGCTTAACTGTAGGCTTTTGAAGTTGGCTGTCAGAAAGGCTGTCCTGTGAGCCTTGAATTTGACACTAGTTCTAAATGACTATTTTTCTGGAAATTGTAATAGGGGTAACACCCCGTATTTAGCTATAGTAATTCAATAGCATGTATGCAATATGACAACTGCAAGGCCCCTGTGTTAATGGGTGGAGGAAAGCAGCCTCTGATCCAGTATTTTTGGCTTGCTGTGCCTCAGTGTTCTCATTTGAACACTTTCTTTCATGTTTTTGGAACAGAAATAACATCTATTTCTGCACTGTAGCAAGAGTCCAAAAGCGATCTTGAAACGTAGATAATGAAATGGAACTACAGACCAGCAAGACCTGCCGAGTAGTCAGTGGCACAATTAAAATGCTGTGCTAGATGGTGCGAATTCATAGGTGCAGCTCTGTTTGCCTGATGTCTTATCATACACTGCTGTGGTAGGTCACAAGCTAAGGGGAAGCAATGCTGGTGGTAGCAGGAGGTTTTTTTTCCCTAAGCAAGTATAAGCTGCTGCAGGTGGTTGGCAGTTTTCTTTCTTAAGTGAGCCTTGATTGTGCAGCTGGGTCCAGTGCTGATCAAAACGCCTACTTTCTTTTAAGATTTGAGATGAATGGTGAAAGTTCACGGCTGTTAAAGACCCCCAGGCACTTGTGTGAGATTTAGGTCCGAGCTTCTGCCCAGCTTATTATTTCTGTGCAAAATCCTGCATTTTAAAATGGATATAGGAATCTTGGCCTGAAGTGCTGTAAACTCTTTTCTCCATGCTGTGTTACCACATTGAGTAAGGTATTTCCAACATGCAGAAGAAAAATATTGAGAGGCTGCTGCCGGTTAACTGTTGCACTGAGGGGCTTGGGCTAAGATGTGGCAAATGCTCCTTGGGTTGTCTTGTTTTGCCATGTGAAGTTCGTTTTTAAAAAAAAAAAAAAAGGCAGCTGTTTGAGTATCTGCTTTGTCGTGTACTCACAGCCAGATAATAGTGTAATACCTGGAGGGCATGCCTTAGCTGGTGTAACTTTAGATATCAGCCCTTCGGTCATCCGGAGTTTCACTCAAGTTTAAGTTGGCTTCTGCTCTTGGTGGGTTTAAGTGACCGTCACACCAGTTCTGCAATGAACATGGTTTGGCCAGACCCAGAGATTTGGCCACGTAGTATTTTCTAAACAGAAAGTTTAAACGCCATAAAAGTGATGGGAGCACAGACAGACCTAGGTAGAGCATAGTCTCTGTGTGTTACCTGCATGCTGCCATTGCCAATGATGCTTCACCGGCTAGTTGGGAATGGTGTGAGGCTTTGCTTACTGGTGTTTTTAACTATGCTCTGTCAAGGAACTGAGCTGAGTTTTCATATCAAATCTAATAGGCTTTTATATTCAGGCTTTTCTGCTGGGATTCAGACTCAGAAACTGGTATTTGTGGCTGGATCCTTCCAGAAAGTGGATGTCATCCCTGCATGTATAGAGAAAATGTCTGTTCGTCATCTCCTAGCCAGTGACAGAAGTGCAGGTGGAGGTCAGGCCAGACTGGCATGGCAGCCTTTTGTGAGTTGACCAGTTGAGCTGATGCCAAGGTGAGCCCAGTCTTTAAATTCCCTCGTATGCCTCAAGGTGTGCATCATCAGATTTGTGCTTGTTGGAAGTACAGGATGAAGCTGGTGTTGGTCTCCCATCCAGCGAGTGTCAGATGAGGTTCTCTTTGCTGCACGTTGGTAACAGGAGGCTCTAGAGTAATAAAAGCGTACTGGTCGGTGAAGGCAGCAAAATAATGCTTTCCTTTCCAACACTGAAACTGGTAAAAGGGTGTGGTTTGTCTGTCACTCTCTGTGTTCCCTTCAATCCAGGGAGGCTGTACGGAGCTGATGACTTCTTGCCTGTGTTGACATACGTACTAGCCCAGTGTGATATGCTGGAGCTGGATACTGAAATTGAATATATGATGGAATTGCTGGATCCATCTTTGCTGCACGGAGAAGGTAATCTCTTTATTTATTTTTACTAGAATTGAGTGAAGGACTAGGGAAGGGAGATTCTTCCTCACAGCGCAGTTTCTGTTAACCTTATTTGAGTAGAAATCCTTTCAAAGGGAGTCCTAAAATCAGTGATGTCTGTAGTGTAACAAGAGAATCTTCTAACTATTTCCGCCTTAAAATAAGAGAAAGCTGGTTAGCTTGCAGAGTGCTGGCCTGAGCGACCTGGGAATCCACCAGTGTATACTACCTTATGAGGCAATGCATTGCTTTCAACCAAGAAGGGGGAGGCATCATGACTTAGCACACAAACACATACGCTGTGCAGGTGCCAAATGTGTTTATCCTTCTGTGCCTGAAAATAACCTGCGAGTGTTTATAGGGCCACAGCATTCAGTTAAATTGTGAGACACGTAATGGGACTTGGGTTAGGTGCTTTATAAAAACTTCAGGGGGAATTACCTGCTGGGGAAGTGCTTTTGAGAATACTGCCACCCTTGATGATCTTTGCTTCTTCCCAATATTGGCTTCTCACAAAGTATTTTTATGAGCCCAAGGAATATGTTTCCTAAGGCACTCTTGAATGACAGCTGAAGTCCGCCAGAGGCAAGGAAATCTCCCTCCTTTCTGTTTTCACGGTGGTGTTTTTAACAAAGAGGTATTCTGCAAGCCCTTGGTAGGCCCCAGAATCTGCCAGTTTATGAGGAAGTTTAAAGGTTCTCGTGACCAAGCTCAGCTGTGAGTTTAAGTATACGTGTGTGTTTCCCATTC